TGTGTGTGTGTGTGTGTGTGTGTGCGCGCGCGAGGGACAAGGACAATCGATCGCCGTAGGAGACCGCGGGGACGGGCAGAAAAACTGCCTCCGCTGAATGAAGAAACCAAGAAACCAAAGAAATCAAGAAACTAAAAAGAAGATACAAAAGAAGAAACCAAAGAACGCATAGAAAACAAGACACTACAGAAAACACAGAATATATACGTACCAGCGTTACCAGAAATTCAAACCAGCCAAGCGCAGCGAGCCTGGCTCCGCCTCGCCGTCCTCCGGATATGGGAAGAAACTAAAGCGCCCTCGTCGTTCTTCCCATATACAAAACACGACTAGGCGCAACAAACTTACATCTTCTCATGACCAGACAAAGAGGAGCGGAAAAAAGATACACAAACCTTTCCAGAAAGAAACGCTATTTCGCATTTCAAGTATGACCCAACGCTATTTCGCATTTCAAGTATGACCCAGACGTCGCAACTCGTGTCGTGAAAAAAAAACAATCATCAATTTGATTTCGACATCGCCCATGTTCAGCGCGATACCGATCTTCGTCCCTCGTTGTGGTCATCACCGTCGTCATTACTACCGTCCTCACCGCAATATAACGCCCGATCATTGTAGCTGTATTTGGGGCATTTTTCAGTCCAGATGCAGCGATAATGACCGGGAGTTCTATTCGGGTGAACTTGAAAACGGTAGCGATATCGCTTACGGTCATCATCGTCGTCAATATCCTCAATGCCGCCATACGGACATCATCCGTATCAACGGTCGACGGCCAATTTCCGGAGAAAGCCGCTACCTTTCCCTCAATCACTCCCCGAGCATAATACTCGGGGCCGTACCACGAATGACCAGCTAGAGTAGAGATTTTACAATTGTCTTTCACAATGTTCGTTCCTTCTGCTCGGAGGCAGACACGATAGCGACACGCCGGCAAAATATTTCAGCTAACCCTTACCCACATCCCCACGTGTACCCACGTGTAGTTGCGCCTCCACATCAGAGACACAGCTGGCCATCAATTACCCACGTAGGCAGCTGCGTTGCCGTCATCATCATCGGGGGGCAGCCTCTCTTATACTAAGAGAAACAGCTGGCCATCAATTACCCACGAAGCCTTGCATGAGCCCATGCACGTGCATCACCAGCGGCCTTGCAAAGGTTCAGGAATCAATAGCACAACCCACAATCGAATACAGGCTATATATCTTCATGCATACGTTTCATAGATTATTGAAAAATCAAACACGATGCACCACTCATGATAAGAATATCCACGGAAATCCCTCACATGCAAAATGAGCATCTCATATAGATAACCGGATGTGCACGTTGGACTCTTGTGTGTGTATGTGTGTGTGTGTGTGTGTGTGTGTGCGTGCGTGTGTGTGTGTGTGTGTGTGTGTGCGTGTGCGTGTGTGTGTGTGTGTGTGTGTGTGTCTTTGTGTGTACGTCTGTCTGCGTGTCTGTGTTTGTCTGTCTGTGTGTGACGATGTGTGTGTGTATGTCTGCATGTGTGTGTGCATCAGAGGACAACAAAGAAGCAGACAGAGGGGGAGAGAGAGAGAGAGAGAGAGAGAGAGAGAGAGAGGCGTGTCTGTGTTTGTCTGTCTGTGTGTGACGATGTGTGTGTGTATGTCTGCATGTGTGTGTGCATCAGAGGACAACAGAGAAGCAGACAGAGAGAGAGAGAGAGAGAGAGAGAGAGAGAGAGAGAGAGAGAGAGAGAGAGAGAGAGAGAGAGAGAGAGAGAGAGAGAGAGAGAGAGNGAGAGAGAGAGAGAGAGGAATTACCTGAGCGGGAGTGTTGACGTGACTGACGTCGGCGGCAACACCGGGGGTAGCGGCAATATCGTAAAGAGAGAGCTCCGCCACGGCGGGATTGAGCTTCATAAGCATGGCCAGGGGCTGGCCAATACCGCCGGCCGCACCAAGCACAGCTACCTTGCGCTTGGCGGGAACCTGGCTGGCGGAAGCCGCAGCGGACATGCGCCGCACCAAAGGTGCCAGCTTACCAACGAACGCCATCGCCGCCCTTCTCCGAAGTTACAAGAAACGCCGCCGCGGCCACCGACAGCGCTCGTCTCACACTCCGGCGATGGCGAACAGCGAGCACAGGAGCGAGCGAACGAGCGAGCGAACGAGCGAGCGACCGATAGCTGCGATGTCCTTCGTCTATCTAGTGCACTGCCGACACGTACGACACAACGTGTTTTCTAGATGCCGTCGCTTTTCCAGCCGCTACCCCTTTGGTGCAGCTACCCCTTCCGGTCCTACCTGCCGGTCGCTATCGACCAAACACCGCCGACCGCAGTCAACTATGGGGTCAGCAGAGCCGATCGCGGGAAGAAGATGTACGAACCTCACCAAAAGTTAACGCATTGAGCGCGTAGGGCGGGGGCGTCCCGCGGCCCCGGGGGCAGGCTCGAGCTCCCACCCCCGCCAAAACACGGTCCCGAAAAGTGAGTGGGAGCGGGGGCGAGGTCCCATCAGGAAAGGGGGAGTTGGATCAAGAGCCTGAATCTGGACTGGACATGCTTCACGAAGAGGTGCTGAAAAAAGCAGACCAGTCCCAGTTTTCCCCAACTTTCCAAAACCACGTCCAGTTTCATGTGGGAAATCCAAGCAATCCAAGCCTGGGACCTCACCCCGGAATCTGGACGTGTTTGTGAAGGTGTGCAGAAATCCTTGGCGTAAATAGGGATTACTATCCGGCACCTCCAATGGGATTACTATGTTGTTGTTGTTTTTTCGCCCCGCTCACCCTTCCTCGAGTCTGCATCACCCCGATTGCAGGCAATACTACAGTCACGATTCCAAGTATGGCGCCATTCCTGTTTACCCTGTCAAGCACTAGAGATTACTAAGAGCTGGCTATGGCTAGCCACGCCTCCGTGTTCCACTCCCAGGCGTGTTACCGCAGGAAATGTTACCACGGTGAAGACGAAGGCAGGTCCCGCTCACTCTCACGGTGAGAGCGCGAAAAACCATTTCTCGATTTATGCGTGTCATCCTTGCGCAGGGGCCATGCTAATCTTCTCTGTATCGTTCCAATTTTAACGGATGTCCCGAAGGACGAGTGCAAAAAACCGGGTAGGCCCCGGTAACAGTGTTACCGGTAGCGGAGTGGAGCGCGAGCGCTAATCCCACGCCGTCGGTCAACTCCCCAAATCCAATGCGATTACTATCTTTTTTTTTTTTTTTTTTTCTGTTCTTTCTATACTCTTCTCTCAACTTCTGTTTCTTTTTGCCTTCCATTACCTACTCCTAAGACTATCTAGAGGGGACCCCTGCAAGCATAGTTTTCCTCTCTCTGTGAAGGGGAGATTTCATGTTGCCCCTTGCCCCTAATGGTTAGGGTATAGGGTTGGGGCCGCCAGTGGGGGTCCCCAGTGCCCAAGGCTTATATTCCGATATGAAGAAAAACTTGAGGCCCGGGTCCTCACAGTCTACCCGGAAATGAAACACAGACTCTGGGAGCATTACCCAGTTTCGCTTCAGAGAAAAGGATAACAGAGCAGAATACCTGAGGGGGAGCTACATCCATAAACATTTTCTGAGGCTGGTTCTACTTGAGCCTGAGATGATAAGGGTGTAGAGGAGGCAGAGGACCTAGGACAGACTTAGGGGAAAAGCTCTAGCCCTCTCAGTTACTTGGGAGTAAGCTGCCTGATGTATCTCTGTACTCAAGGTCTAATAGAGCGATGGTCCCAAAGAAGGTCCGAGAAAAAGAGTCTGTGATTATCTGAGACGTCTGCCAATTGAAAAGGAGATGCCCATTTCTTGCGAAACATTGTTGTGGCGAGTTCTTAGGAGGATGAGTGATTGTTGAGCTTGTACCAGTCCGCAGTTATGTCCAACCGAATAGCATGCTTGAACTGTGCGATCAGGGAGGCCGTGGGATTGTTGATGGATAAAAATATCCTGTCTCTTCTGGCTAGCCACAGCTGCCAAAACGCCCTCGCTCTGAAGATTAAGGATACTGTTTCGGCCTGTTGGCCGTGGAATTGCGCCTGTATTCTCCCTGTGATGACCATGTTCTTCTCCCAGAAGTCCGGTGAACCATATGCCTGTAGCCAGATCTTGTTCAGAAATTCTCAAAAACCTCTAGCGATCACGCATTCCCACCACAGGTGAAGCCAGTCCTCTAAACAAGGGTGGGGGCAAATATCACAGGTATTCGACACTTCCATTCCCCTTTCTGTACACCATAGTGCTGTGGGATACATGTGTGTAGGTGGAGCCATTGTAAACCTCCTACTTTGGTTTCTATAGTGGAGAGAAGACTATGGATAAAGAAAAGAAGCCACTTGACAGAGATAGAGGGGATACTGAGAGAGGTAGCTCTCTGTTGCCATCTAAGAGACAGACCAGCATGGAGTGATTGGGGATTGGAGAAGATTGTGTACCCAGTCTTGGCAGTGTAATCCACAATAGGAACTTTTGTGGGGGATTCAGCGTGGTTGTGGAGAACCCAACCATATTTGCAGACATCGACTTTCCAGTCTTTGAAAGGAATCGCGTTCATGCAAATTTGAAAGATGGGTGGCTTCCCTGCGACAATCTTCTGTGTGAGTTTGACTTCTTCCATGCCACAAAGAGATATCTTCCTTGCTTCTTTGGTTTGGTCTAGTCTGGGGTCCTTCCATAGCCATTCGGAGGCTTCAGTGGAACCGTCCACGTGAACTTTGTCCAGCCTGTAGTAGACGTCTTGTTGCCCTGGAGGCTTGAACCATTGTAGCTCGTTGTAGGATGATTCTGGTTGGCAGCGGATCTGGAACCACTATGCCTGTTGTGCAGTCCCCTGAGGGTGTGTCTCAGTTCCGCGTGCGTCCTCCAGGTACTGTTGTCTTGGTTCCAAATGTGGCGAACGAGCCAGATTCCTCTCTGCATCCAGGTAAGCCCAAAGTTCCCTTGTGCTTTGGCAACTGAGAAGGGTCGACCGGCCGCGTTTCTGATTGTTGGGTGTTCGGAGAGGGGGGTGTTGAGGATTTCGAAAACAGAGGTAGGGTTCTCAATAGGGTGGGGGAGCATTTTCCCCCATTCTCTTAGGATGTTAGTCCATGTCCTGCCTGCTGGCTTGGCTGTGAAAGGGCGCATAAGGAGTGCATGCCAAACTGCCTGAGGGTCGGAAAGATTCCATAATTTTGCTAACAGATGTTGAAGTAGGAGGATCCAGGGCTGTTCTTCCTTAGCGGTCAGTGCTCTTGTTGGCCATTTCGCCAGTAGGGCTCGATTCTGTATCAGGGGGTCAAGAATTCCTAGTCCCCCGTCCTTCCGTTTTTCTGTGACTTTGTCCCAGCTCACTTTGCTAAGAGTTGAGGAGGCTTCGGAGTCTCCTTTCCATAATAGTCTTGTTAATAACCTCTTGATGTTAGTTGCAGATTCCACAGAAAGGGCACGAATAGACAGAATATACCAGATCTTGGAGGAAATAAAAGTGTTAATAATCATCGCTCTGCCGAACAGCGAGAGGAAATAAGTCTTGGACCAGCTGGCACATGCATCCTGGATTCTATTCTCTGTTATGGCTGCTTGAGTCGCTGTCGGGTCGCCCTGTTCTTCTTTTTTTTCCTTTTCCTTTCTTTGTTTTCGAAAAAAAATATTTTTCCTGAGGTAGCGCAGGGGTTCTTTTAGATGATTTGGCGGATGGACATATGGCTGTCGAGGAAGTGATCTCTACTGGGGTCTTGAGTTCTGGTTGCCCATTATTTCGAGACAGCAGCGTAGCTTCGGGGTTCTGAACGTAACTAGTTTCTGGGTTTTGCAACCAGCTTCTGGAATTTTTGTCCCTTGGTCTGTTGAACCTTACCTTCCGTTCGTCTTTGTTCTCTTGAACTTTCCGATTGCCTCCCTTTTTTGTAGGAACCTTGCGAATGCACAACAGTACTAAAACTGGTGGTTCTATTCGCTAAGTCCCTTTTCCTAGCGACGATAACAAGACCCCTGATGATTCTGGTATTGACGACCGGATGAAACGCAACGTAGGGTCGCTACGCCGGTACTTCACGTTTATGTCTTGATGTATTTGGCCGTATATTAAATCTCGTTCTTTCAGCCTAATGGTCGCATTTCAGGAATTTCCTGGGACTGAGCTTTCTCCTTCCTCTCCCTCCTCTCCTATTCCTCTCTCTCTCTCTCTCTCTCTCTCTCTCTCTCTCTCTCTCTCTCTCTCTCTCTCTCTCTCTCTCTCTCTCTCTCTCTCTCTCTCTCTCCCTCTCTTTCTCCTTGTTCGCCTATTTGATACATTGCATGATTGTTTGCTATGAAAGAGTGATTGTCTCAACCATCATCAGGGAACTGGGAAACTAGGGTAGGGGGAGTAGGCGCAAGATTGTATATAGAGAGGGGGGAATAGTTAATGCAAATTATTACTACTAGGTAGTAGGTACAAGAAACGAAGAAAGGGTAACCGACCCGCCTATTTTCATTTTTTACTTGCTTTTTATTTTGAGGGTCTGGTTCCAACGCTGCATACAAAATACTGGATATAAATACTTGGAGGACAATGGCTTGGAGAAAAATGTAAGAAGAAAACATATGTGGGAATTATGAACATAGTAAGAGGACACAGGCAGATAGTATGGGAAGGTACATGGGAATATTACAATAGGAATGCTTGAACCTACATGAAAACCCATTTGCTCGAAGATAAATCTTAGGATACGAGTAGGATAATCGATGTTGATTGGTGTTGCCCGACCCGCAATATTAATCCACAATGGGGTGTTGTTTGCGCCGTGGGAGGGAGGTGGGATGCTTAGGGAGTTGTTTGCAGGTGGTCAATCCTTCCCTTGTGCAGGGAAGTAATCAATGCCCCTGCTCTCCTTTGGATAATAGGTATAGGGACTCGATGTCCATAACATACATATTACATAATTGATAGTGATTCGTGTTAATGTCTTGATTGATAAATATCATACAACGACCATTTCATCAAAATGGACATTTTTTATTTTTTGAACAAAATTGAAACTGAGTTTTTTGGCCGAAAACTCGTCAAAATTTGTTGTTCCTGAGGGTCCAGCGTTCAAAAAAAAAAAAAGGTAGGCTAAGGCATCTAGTAGCCTGCCTAGGCAGGGTACAGGAAA